CTTGTTGAACAATATCAGGGATAGAAACCTGATCATTGTCAATGACAATTGGAGGAATTTCAACAGATTCCTCCTCAAAGACAAAGCCTGTAACCCTTTCTCCCCCCGCAAACTCAACATCCTCAAAGAACCTAGCATTTTCTGTCTCGAAAATTGCCTTAGTTGTGAGATCATAAAACTTGAAACCCCTGAACCTTTCAGAATATCCAATGAAATAGCAATTGATGGTCCTTGCGTCCAGTTTCTTTTCATTTGGCTTATAGGGCCTTGCCTCAGCTGGACACTCCCAAATATGTATATGCTTCAAACTAGGCTTCTTGCCCGTCCAAAGCTCATATGGGATTTTATCAGTAGTCTTAGTTGGAACTCTGTTGAGTATATAAGCTGCAGTCTTTAATGCTTCACCTCAGAGAGATTCTGGTAAGGTAGAATGACTAATCATACTCCTCACCATGCCCTTAAGCGTTCTGTTTCGTCTTTCAGCAACACCATTCATAGTGGACGAACCCGGCATAGTGTACTGTGGGACGATACCGCATTCCTCTAGGAATTTAGCAAACGGTCCTGGACGCTGTTCACCTGAACCGTCATATCTGCCATAGTATTCACCCCCACGGTCAGATTTGACGCTTTTAATCCTTTTGCCGAGTTGGTTCTCAACTTCAGCTTTATAGTTTTTGAACATATCCAGTGACTGTGATTTTTCATGAATGAGATATATGTAGCCATATCATGAAAAGTCGTCTATGAACGTTGTAAAATATTGTTGACCATTCCAAAAATCCGTAGGGAATGGTCCACAAATATCCGTATGTATAAGTTCTAAGACGTCCGAAATTCTATTGGCTTGAAATCTCCTTTTATTAGTTTGTTTTCCCTTTATACAATTGACACACAAATCATAATCTGTGAAGTCAAGAGGGTCGAGAATTCCGTCAGACACAAGTCTCTCTATTCTCCTTTTGGAGATGTGACCTAATCTCTTGTGCCACAACGAGGCAGAATTCTCGTCGTTTAATTTTCACTTTACACCTCGAGTACTTACATGCAAGGTTTCATTATAAGAAGCAATTGTATCAATTGAATAAAGATTATCATAACCTGATAAAGAACCGGAACCAACCAATTTTGAATCATGAAACAAACTAAATTTTCCATTTCCAAAAGAACAAGTATAACCGAATTTGTCCAAAACAGAAATAGAAATCAAATTTCGTCTAAAAGACGGTACAATAAATGTCTCAACAAGATCCAAATAAAATCCAGTCTTTAACAATAATCTAAATTTTCCTATTGCCTCTACTTCCATTCTATTGCCGTCGCAACATAGATGTATCTTTTACCATCACTTGGTTTTCGGCAACTCAGGCAATCCTGCATAGACATACTGATGTGAGTTGTTGCACCAGAATCTATCCACCATGTATGTCTAGGTACCGAAGTTAAATTAACCTCAGAACAAACCAAATGAAGAAGAGTACCTTTCTTTACACGCTATGCGTGGTAATTGGTGCAATTCTTCTTCTTATGACCTGCAGCTCCACAGAAGAAACAACCGCCTTCAGTTGGTTCCTTATGCTGTTTCTTTTGCGGTGCCGTACCTGCAGCTTCCTTATTAATCTTCCTTTTCTTGTTGCTTTTGTCCTTAGAGGTGGTGGCTAAATGAGCACTTTCTGTCTTTTCATGCTTCAGTCTTTCCTCTTTCTGGACACAGTGTGAGATGAGCTCATTAAGGGACCATGAGTCCTTTTGACAGTTGTAGCTCACCTTGAATTGACTGAAATGTGCCGGAAGGGATATCAGAACCAAGTGCACTAACAAGTTTTCAGATAAATCCAACTTGAGTGCCTTTAGTTTTGAAGCAATGTGAGACATTTCCATAATGTACTCCCGAATGTTTCCTTTCCCTTTATACCTCATTGAGACAAGATTTGCCAAAAGTGTACTTGTTTCAGCCTTTTCATTCTTGGCAAACCTCTTCTCAAGGTCCTCAAGGAAACCCTTAGCAGTAGTCACCTTATCGGTCATAGTGTCCCGGAATGCTTCTGGAATAGCACGCTTCATGACCATTAAGCTTATGCGGTTCGATCGTTCCCACTTTTCCATCTCTCTCTTGTCATTAGAGGTACTCTTATCAGTAAGTGCAGCAGGTTGATTGACCCGTAAAGCAAGGTCTAGGTCCATGACTCCGAGAACAATCATAACGTTCTCTTGCCATGCCCTGAAGTTTGTGCCATTTAACGTTGTAATTGAATTGATGCTAGCAGAGATATTAGCAGCAGAACCTGAAACTGAATTAGAGAACATTTATTATGAATAGCTCACATGAATATCTTTAATATGCAAATAATAATAATAATAATCTCAAATAGTGGTAGGGCCCATCACAAGATACCAAGCACAACATCAATATCCAGTTTTTGGACAGAGATATTGACTTGTAAGCGGTACTCTTGGCGTAGTGATCAAACATTGACAATAAAACAACGTGTCAATCAATAAACCTTTCTTTACACCGATTTATTGATCACACATTAAACCAAATAATCGTCACACGTTTATCACCACAGGTGCACGTGTATTCGGCTAAATATTGACCTTCCTTTGGGCCGACCAATATTCCCATAAATAACATGTGCACAAACACTTTTTAACATTCTAAGTTAGTCAATTTTCACAAGAGAGGTTGCTTTAACAACATGTTGCTTCATTTAACTAACTTTCGAATATTATATCTCTTTAAAAGAGTCTTTAGTACCGAAATTTGAGAAAGAGAATCACCAATTTTACATATTTTGATTAGTTTTAAACTTTAGGGGCCTTAGGATTAATAATTCAAAACTTTAAAGGGTCAAAATTAATTAATTTCAAACTTTAGGGGTTGAAATTAATAAACTTGAAACTTTAGGGACCAAAATTAATTAATTCAATACTTTAGAGGATCAATTAAAACAAATTTTAAAACTTTAGGGGCCAAAATTGACCAATTCAAAACTTTAGGGATCAAATTTT